TGTCCAGGAGTCGTATTCCGGAACTCGTCTAGCTTATGGAGGTCCACGGAGTATTCAGGAGGCTGCTAAGAGGAGTCGTCGCAAGGCCAGGCTAGCAGCCCGAGCCCCAGCAGCCATGGTTCTGGCTCCAGTACAGGCCCCAACAGCCATGGTTCCGGCTCCAGTGCCGGACCCAGAAGCCATGCCTCCATGCTCCAGTACCGGCCCACGCAGCTTTGCGTCCATACTGGATTACCTGGCTTACACAGCCAGGGTCCAGGCTTCCGCGCCGGACCCAGCAGCCATGATTCTGGCTTCAATTCCGGCTCCAGAGCCGGCCCATTCAGCCATGTTTCCGGCTCCAGAACCGGACCTTACAGCCATGTTTCCGGCTCCAGAACCGGACCTTACAGCCATGAGTCTGGCTTCAATTCCGGCCCCCGCAGCCATGGTTCCGGCCCCAGCAGCCATGGTTCCGGCTTCAGTACCGGCCCCGGAAGCCATGGGCTCGACTCCAGTTTCGGCTACAGGGCTGGCTCCCCAGCCGACGCCAGCTCCCTGAGTCTTGTCGGCGTACCGGCCGACTCCAGCACCTCGTCTTCTGCTGGCTCCCCAGCCAGGAGCTGCGGGACAGTAGCCTAGAAGCAGGGTTGGGTTGTAACGGAATACATGTAACGGCGTTACGTAATCAGAATACAAAAATCAAGTAGGCTAACTGTATTCAGCTGGCGTTACATTTGAAAAACGAGTAATCTGATTACAGTTACTTTCGTAAACCTGAAGTGAATACATTTTGGAATACTTATTGGAATTATTGGTGGAAACGTTTCCTCACAAAATGTAATATTCATTACCGGCAGAACTGTGTGCACACTGCACAGCGCTGCAGCGTGTCTGTGAGCGAGAGAGATGCAGTGTGTCTGTGAGGCCCCGCCCCCGCACGCAGATGAGAGAGAGATCTTTTTAAAATATATTGAAAGTTAGAAAACGGAGATGGTTCGATAAAATGTGCAAGATAACGTTTATGTAGCGTTTCTTTATTGTCGAAATGATGACATTTCATAACGGGACTGGAAAACGTTTTAAAAGTTATTATATTGTTTCAGATAATAATAATGATAATTAATTCTATTTAGGGGCGCCTTTCAAAGCACCCAAGGACACCTTACAATTCATAACATATTCCAAGGAAAGGTTTTAAGACAGTACAAAGAATACAGTCCGGGTGATGTTTTTTATGTGGGGTGCAGATGAGAGAGCTGTCCAGAATGACACCAAGATGTTGTGTTTGAGTTCTTGATAAGCCATGAAAAGAGTAAAATAAGTGTCTCCTGTTCACCAAAACATACCCATCTGTTATGGAAAAAGAAAGTATTCTAAAAGTAATCTGAATACATTTTTAAGACACGTAACTGTAACTGTATTCTGATTCATTTCAGAGCATGTATTAAGTAACTGATTACATTTACAAAGTAACCCTCCCAACCCTGCCTAGAAGTGATCCTTCGTTAGCGTGAAGAGTCTGCTAAGCTTTATGCGGTCCACAGTACCTGAGCGTGGAAAGTATTCCAAAAGTAATCTGAATACTATTTATAAAATTCTGGGCTATATAAAAATCGCTGGCCCGCGATAGTGTCTATTGGTTACATGTCGGCCCTTGGACAAATGTAGTTGGTGATCCCTGCTGTAGGGAGTAAGGGTGTGTTCACACCTAATAGTCCGTTTTCTGGTGGGCACCAGACCACAGTTTGTTACATTGTTTCATTTTTCAGAAGGTTCGGTTTGCGTTCACACGGGCAAAACTCAAACGGACTATAAACTTTAAACACAAGTCATGTGCTCGGAAATGCTGTTCAACCATTGGTCAGACATTAAGGGGGTAAAAACGCAAATCCCGGCAATTTCTAGCGGAGACTCCGCCATGGAGCATCGGCACTTTCGGCAGGTTATTCTCATGCTGCTGTTAGTCTGGAGATCAATACACACTAGCGGCCCGCGCATATGATTATATAATCAGACAACGTCCGTTAAAAAACATTATTACATGGCTTTGTTGAATACTCAATTCTGATTGGTCAATTCAAAACACGTGACACGTTTTTAATCCAGAACAGACAGACCGATTTCAAGGATTTATTGACCGTTGTTAAGGACGCTCACATCTGCACAAAGAAGTCCGTTCGATTTAACTGTATACAGTTTGGCTGAAACTAACTGACCAGACAAGAGCGACAAGAAAACAGCGGAGAAGTAACGGGCAGAAACCCTCCTTTTTACGCAGCGGTCCAGACATAGACATCAGACGGCGACACATATTCAGTGTGCAGTTACTTTGGCATTAGGGCAGGGATATCTAGATACTTTCCAAGGTTTGACATAATGAATTGTGCTACTTTTAAAGCAAGCAATGATGTTTTCAAATCTGTAATCAAAAAGATCCTCAAAAACGCTATCGAAGCAGTTCCTGCCGTTGCTACGTTAGTTCAAACAGTAACAACGGACTATTTTTCTTAGCGGATGCATGTCAATTTAAATCAATACAACTATTTTTTAAATCAATAAAATCATTTTCTAAATCCACAAAAGCATTTAAATTAATATTGGGAGTCATGTCGTTACTTTGTTGAGAATGTGGCCATGTAATAAGTGTTACATGAGACGTTCTGCAGAGGAGGGGCGTTTCACCGACGACAGGTGTTCTTACTTTTATGTAGCTGACAGAGAATTGTTACTTTACACGACACTGTTCAACACTTAATTCTGCTTTACTCTTTAACTAAACAACCGCGGATGTCTTGAAAGACTCTTTCGCCAAAGATTTTTGAAGATATCTGCGTTCTTGTGACACGTAAATACTGCGCTTCCTATGTTTTGGTGCGGACTGCGTTCACACCAGCAATGAACCGCTCCAGAGTTCGCAAGCAAGCGCTCCGAGACCACCTATTTTAGCGGACCAGAGTCCGGTTGTTTAGTTCACTTAAGAGGTCTCGGACTGCGTTCACACCGACCCAAATGAACCGCACCAAGCGGCTAAACGCACCAGGGTTCGATTCAACCTGACTATACAAGGCAGGTGTGAACGCACCCTAAAACTCTCCCAAAACGCCTCGTTGGAGATTTCTCTTTTTCTTCCTGGGTACTCTGACGTGGGGATACCCAGAAGCCACACCCTCTGCTAGCCTTTCACGAAACAAAGCTTCCCAAACCTTTCAGCGATGCATGCCGGATATGTACAGTATAGGGCACTGAAGAACGATGCTGTTCCTACTTTGTTTGGACCAGCGGGAGATTCGGGTACACAACCTTTAAGTATTCATTGTTGTTTGTGTATTTATGATGTTTAAAACAAACAAGGTATCTACCACGACTGTTTAAATGGGTAAACGTTTTTCGGGCTACTAAGTTGGGATCGTGGAGAAATGCTCTCCGCAGACCCATTCTCACAGCGTTCTAAACCTTTTTCTTAATCAATATCAAGCCACACTTATTGTTTTTACTTCGGCTGTGAGTGTTTGTGTGTGCTCAGGATGAATTTAGCTTGTTCTCGCTGTATCGCCGAGAGGCTCGTTGCTGCGATCTGCTGATCGCAGCAACGAGCCTCTCAACATCCCGACCAATCAGAGCACACTGGGCTCACAGGGGGGGGGGCAGGAGCTCCAACAATCCGTTTAGGACAGAGAGTGAATACCGGTGAATACACATACTTTACAGAGATGCTGTATGAGAAACCAATGTGAGTTTGGAAAATTGTACAATATAAATCTATTTTAGTATACCTCAACAATGGAATTATGATCAGTAGAAATGGCCATGACATGGGACCTTTAACATTATTATATGCTTACCTTTAACCTTTGTGTGCTGTTTGGGTCATGTGGGACCCATTTTCAGTGTTTACTAAAATAAAATGAATGCGATTTAATTATTTTAACCTGCTTTATTTGGGGGTGGACCTCCCATACTCTTGGGGGGTCCAGGGGCATGCTCCCCCAGGAAGATTTGTTTTTAAATCTTAAGTGAAATGCATCAATCTGGTGCACTTTGAGCACAACATTAATTTATGGATACAGCTCTCAACACTCAGATGAAAGAGAGCTGTATACTTTTCAATAATACAAACATCTTTAGAATATGATCACAACCAATAACAAATCATTTACACTTGTTTATTCTTATCTTATGTTACCTAGTTAGCATTCTTTCTTTTTATTTATGCATATTTTACTAATCACTCTCCTTTTAAACTTTTTTTTTTTTTTTACTGTCCTATAGTACACATTGGAATGATTTCTCATAGCGCATGCGCAACTTTAACCACGCCGCCCAAAAGGCTCGTTCACATTAAGCACGTGAATTTGCGTACACGTAACAGCACCGCGCGTTCATGACAGCATGGTACTGGATTTATATTAACGAGGCGGCAGTTAGCAGCTAGCGGCTAGCTAGTAAATGATGCTAACTTACACATCAATCGTTATGTATTTTATATTACGCTGACATCAGGATCTAGTGATATCCAAGCAACAGAGCTTCATTTAGCATGATACTTGTGTGGGTTGTACATGAAACCACTTGGTAATATATACAAATGTATATGTTGAAGCCTGTTATGATCAATTGTGAGTTAAAACTTTATCTAAAAAGTAAAGCTGATGATGGATTACTGTGGTGGAGTTAAAATAACAATATCCTATTTCTTTTTGAAATGTGATGGAGTAAAAGGATAGTAACTGTGATTATTCATGTTAAGTAGCCCACAAATAACTAAAACGTATAATACTTGAAGGAAAGGTGTAAAATGTTCCCATAAATACCAATATCACAGTACAACACCCCTTGTTGTTAAATACCAACCATGTGTATATATATATATATATATATATAAATATATATATATATAAATATATATATATATAAATATATATATATCTATATATATATATATATAAATATATATATATATATATATATATAAATAAATATATATATATATAACACCTTTGATGTTGCCAAGGTAGTTGCCGCCACAGTGGATGAGCAGGACATCCGGGACTGTTCTTCCCCTCAAGGACTAATAGAAAAAGGGAAGAAGGTTCCTCCACCTCAGACCACCCTTGCCAAACCACCACACACGGCAATTGAGACCCAGGTTGCTTCCCATGGTGTGTCTGGCTCTTTCTTCCCCACGTCTAATGTAGCTGCTTCCTATTATCCACACATTGGGACCTAGATAGAATAACATATATTGAAAAAGTGGTTACTGGTGATCATCTTTTAGAAAAAGGTGGTACATGTAGCCTGAGTTGTCATATCATTTTCATCATATTTTTAAGACTACACAAGTTTAATTTGTATATTATATTACATATAACTCTATACTTGTATATAGAATTATGATGAAACTTTATAAGGATTAAGATTATATATTAATATTACATTAAATAATGCATGACGATTTCATGCATTATTACGAAGCAGGATGTATCAAGTCACTGACTTTTTGTGATAAGGTCACAATCAACTGATTTCACTTATCAGATGTAAAAATAAGGTACAATATATTTGTTTTTGCCATATGAAAGTAAAGGGTATGCAATCAAAAAATTACTGAAACAAAATGAATACAAATTCTTATAAAAACTATTGAGCACCTTGTCCAAGTATGGCGGGAGGCCCACTTTCCTTCAGCATTTCCTCTCTGGATGTCGATCCGGCTATTTCTGCCATCTATAAATAAAGTACAAATGATTAGCTCTTCACGCCTCTTTAAAATAATATGTGTTCTTGAAGATTCTGTATGCATCGTCGTTTACAATGGTAGGGACATTGCATTGGAAATTAGTTGTGAAAAATATATGTCATTTTTTGTTTTTTCATCTCACATTTATAGATTTTAAATAGAAATATATATATATAAAACGAATTATAAATGCAAAGTCTGGTTTCTAGAAAGTTAGCTAATGCATACAGAGTTAACATTGCAGAACTGCTGGCATGCATACATTTCTAGCATTTTGGTTAACTATGAAAAGTATGGAAAATTACTGTGCAAACACCCAACATTAGCTTAGCCACAGTAGCGGTTGCTGATGAGTGGTTTGGCTTATTTTACTCTTTTATATGAGAACATGTTACATTACATACAGACATTAAGGAGGCAGGTTAGAAAATAAATATGTTTTCGTATCTTACCTTTTGGAGCAAACTGTTGTCGGTTGTTAGCATAGACTGTATGAAGCGTTGTCTCTTTAGCCTCAGTGACGTAACAGTGAACACTGAACGTGACCGCGTGTGAAGGGGGAGGTGCTGAACACGTCACATCACATGAACGTGCCGGGCAGCGCGGTCCCGTGGGTTAGATGCGCGTTCATAATGCCGAGGGAAATAACTCTCAGAATAACGTTATTAGCACATTTTTACAATTTGAGGAATGAATGTTTTTAATAAGGGCTATACAAGTCTTCATACTGGGTTGTTTATTTAGTTTTAAAAAAATTATCCAACGAGTTACAGACCACTCTTTCCCCATGTAAGTCAATGGGAAAAAGTGTTTCCGGGCCCAGCAACCAAACGGAAGTGTAGTACCGCCGTTTGGCCACTACGAATATTCTCATCATACTCCGGCGCACTTCCTGGGGGCTTGCCGTTGACGGCCGGCCGGCCCTTTAAAATAGTTTAACGTCATCATTTAAATTGCGCTGACGGCCGACAGAGGGCGACAGCGGCCGCTAATGCAGTTGTGTGGTTCTTATCTGTCAAATAATCACACAAGAAGAAGAAAAAAGACCGGCCACACGAAGAGAAGGGATTTGACGCCGCGGCAGACAGGGGGAATGAGAAAACATGGATACAAATCAAAGAAAACGAAAAGAAAAAGGTGGGGCCGAGAAGGCAAGAGAGAAAAAGGTGAAGTCACTCGCAGGTGAAGCATATCAATGTCGCAAATTGACAGACCTTTTTGGCAGCAGCGCTGCTACAAGCACTATCAGCAGCAGCTTAGAACAAGTGCAAGATGATGAAGAGAATTATGAGGGCGCGAGTTCAGATATACAGCCAGCCTCCTGCGTTCATGATGAGGGACAGAGAGTTAAGCTGGTGTAACCCCCAAAACACACCAGGAGCGTCTGCGCCGCGTTACGTTGCGGCTGCGCCACGCTGCGACCTCCTCCTGCGACAACACACACCAGACGCGTTTCAAAACGTTGCGGAAGCGGAGCGTCGTGTGTGCAGCCTCGCAGTTGTTGTTGATTTTGGAATATTTCCTGGACATTTGTACTTCTACAAGTAAGTAGGCTATACGTAGTTAAATGGTTTATGTTTGTGTCTGTTTAAATCGTGTTTATTGTTATTTCCTATTTTGTTATGTTGTAGACTACAGACACAGTTAATAATAATTGTAATATTCCAGTTATAAACGACATGAATCAAAGATGTGTTGCTGTATTTTAGTGGTAAAAAAATATGCATTCATCATCATAATTATTCTATATATATATATCATTTACAGTGCCTGTAAACCGGAGGAGAACGCTGGCATGTATTCTCCTACTTGAAAGACTACGGGGGGATGGGGGGAGGAGTTTACCTTACGGCTGCGCCGCGGCAAAAATAGGATTCATCCTAATTTTAGAGAAGCGCTGCGCCGAGCCGCTTCTGGGACGCGTCTGAGCCGTAACGCGGCGCGTGTGGTGTAATAGCACCCATTGACTAGAGTGGCCGCGATCCTTACGACCGCCGCGGCGCGGCCGTAACACGACGCAGACGCTCCTGGTGTGTTTTGTGCCAGCTCAACTGGCACATACAAGTGCAAGAGGTGGGTGAGAATTATCCCTTGAACTCAGTGGCGTTTTCTCCTGGAGGCCAAGGGAAGCCAGGCTTCCCCTGTTTTTTTGGATTGTAGTTATAATTTTAATAAATAAATAAAAACTAATGAATAGCAATTTGAAATATGTCCGCAATGATAAGAGCAATGTGTATACAAAGTTTCGTGAATATCGGAAAAACTATATGCGAGTAGTTTGGAGTAATTTGTGACATGTAAATCGTCAAAAATGGAAAATGCTCCGTTCGCTTACGAGCTCATCGTTTGAGCGATCAACTATTCCTTCGCAATTTAGTATCACATTGGATATGGGCTGAACTTGTCCTGGATTGGAATTGTTCCGATCATTCCCCTAGGAGGAGTTTGCAGAATTGTCCTTAAAGAGCTTACGAAATGAAGGACAATACTATTCTTATTATGATAATATATATACTATTATTAATGGGAAATCATGTCATTCATGACAATATGCCCACTGTATTTATAAATCGTGGTTTATTACAACTTTCCATGCTCGCTTCCGATGTTACACGACCGCTCCGAACAAAACAGTTTTCGCCGGTTAGTGACGTCACGCACGTCACAAGTTGAATAATACACTACCTATATGGCTGATGTCGGACTCTGGAGACAGAATCGAGTGACAGTGAGTCGTCAATATTATTGAAGAGGATGCCGGTGTGGTGGAATCAGATCATGCGGGCGAGTCTAACGTGGTGGAACCATACCAGTTTGAGCCACAGTATTCAAGTAGCGGTAGAGATACAGACGGGAGCGAACTAGGGGGGTGATTTCAAGAAGAAATGTAAACACCTTTGGTTTCTACACGGACCACTATTGCGGTAAGCATGTTGTAACTTCCGGTTGTTGTCATCTCCGGGTATCCCGTGTGCCTGTTCTGTTGCTGATAGCTTATTATCTTAACTTAATCGATCGTTTTAAAACTCTTGATCACGGCAACTGCCTGACGTTATAATCACATGTTACTACAGCTTAAGCCCTCACAACTCTCCTTCTCTTAGCGACTGTAACTCCACAGTTGCCTACACTCTTTTCGGATTTGCTAACGGTAGCTACTTTAGCTTGATAGCTAGCCATGGCTCTTTCCCCACCCTCGGGTGCTATTTCCTGCTCTAACTGTCTCATATTTGGTTACTTCCCTGCCTCCTTTACTGGTACCGGTACATGTGTTAAATGTAGTATAGTTGTTAGGTTGGAGGCGGGAATCATAGCCATAGAAGCCCGGCTCCGCATCTTAGAAAGAAACTCAGCTACAGTAAAGCCCATGTTAGCCGGTGCGGAACGGCAAAAGGTAGCTCCTATTAGCCGTCCCCCGGCAACTCCCGAGCAGCAGGGAGACTGGGTGACTGTTCAGAAGGGGCATAACGCGAAACCCGCAGGTCCCCACCAACCCGTTCACGTATCTAACAGATATTCCCCACTCAGCGAGATACCCGCTGAGAAGCCAACTCTGGTTATTGGTAGCTCTATTATGAGACACGTGAAATTAGAGACCGAAGCCTCCACAGTCACATGCATTCCGGGGGCCAGAGCGGGCGACGTTGAGGCGCATCTTTAACTGCTGGCTAAAAATAAACGTAAATACAGTAGGATTGTTATTCACGTCGGTGGTAATGATGTTCGTATACGCCAATCAGAATGCACCAAACTTAATGTGGAGTCGGTGTGTAGTTATGCTAAAACAATGTCGGACACCGTAATCTTCTCTGGTCCCCTCCCCAATCTGATCAATGATGACATGTATAGCCGCATGTCATCATTTCAGCGCTGGTTGTCTTGGTGGTGCCCAGCAAACAATGTGGGCTTCGTAAATAATTGGACAGCCTTCTGGGGAAAACCTGGTCTGATTAAGAGAGACGGCATTCATCCTACTTTGGAAGGTGCAGATCTCATTTCGGCAAACATTTCAGGGCTTTGTGGACTTAATCCATGACAAACTGGAGTTGAGACCAGGAGGCGGAGTCGCAGTCTTACACGCTTCTCTGCGCTCTCTCCTAGGCAGTCATCCATAGGAATCCCGAACCCAATAAAATACCCAATATTAGCGGTGTGTGTGTCTGCCCAAGGACAAGTTAAGGTAAAACCTAATAGAGGTGTCATACATAATAACCTAATCAAAGTAAATGTAACAACTACTACAGTGCAACAAAACAGGAATATTAAATGTGGTCTCTTAAACATAAGATCTCTAGCATCTAAAGCAATATTGGTAAATGATTTAATATCAGATTATAATATTGATATATGCTGTCTCACTGAAACTTGGTTGAGACATGAAGAATATGTCAGCATAAATGAGGCCACTCCACCCAGCCATATCAATACTCATATTGCCCGAGGCACGGGCCGAGGAGGTGGAGTTGCAGCAATCTTTGACTCAAGTTTACTTATCAATACTAAACCAAAATTAAATTATACCTCCTTTGAAAGTCTCGTTTTTAGTCTTACGCATCCGACCTGGAAAACTTTGCAGCCAATCTTATTTGTTACAGTGTACCGTGCACCAGGTCCTTATTCAGAATTCTTATCTGAATTCTCTGAGTTTTTATCAACTTTGGTTCTTAAAACAGATAAAGTAATTATCGTAGGTGACTTTAATATTCATGTTGACGACGATAAAAATAGCCTTACTGTTGCATTTAACTCTATATTAGATTCTGTTGGTTTTTGTCAGAGTGTAAATAAACCAACCCACTGCTATAATCACACTCTCGACCTTGTTCTGACTTATGGTATTGAAATTGAGCAACTATTAGTCGAACCGCATAATCCTGCTTTATCCGACCATTTCTTAGTAACTTTTGAAGTACTGTTACTAGACTACAAAGCATTAGTCAAAAGCTCCTGCAGCAGAAACCTATCTGTTAGTGCTATAGCCAAATTTAAGGAAGAGATTCCACCAATACTTAACTCGATAGCATGTCTGCATGTAGGGGAGGAAACTTATACAAAATGTACACCACCCCAAATTGATCATGTTGTTGATAGTGCTACAGATGCGCTGCGAATAAAATTAGACTCTGTTGCTCCTTTGAAAAAGAAGAAAATAAAACAACATAGATTAGCTCCATGGCATAATGCCGAAACCCGCAAAATAAAGCAAAAGTCGAGACAACTTGAAAGGATATGGCGTTCCACTAAACTTGAAGAATCTCGTTTAATTTGGCATATTACTCTCAAGGAATATAAGAAAGCACTGCGTAAAGCGAGAGCAGCCTACTACTCTTCATTAATAGATGAGAATAAGAATAATGCAAGATTTCTTTTCAGCACTGTAGCCAGGCTGACAGAGAGCCATAGCTCGATTGAGCCTTCTATTCCCATAGCACTCAGTAGTAATGATTTTATGTGCTTTTTTAACGATAAAATTGTTACTCTTAGAAACAAAATTAATGACCTCTTGCCTTTGACCAGTATAGTGTTATCAACAGCTCCCGGAAACGTAAGTTCTAATATTACACTAGATAGTAAACTAGAATGCTTTTCAGCCATAAACCTTGAACAATTAAATTCAATGATTCTCTCTTCTAAACCATCAACGTGTAT